CCCCAAGTGCATTTACCCTCTGGGACAAGCTCTGAGAAGGGCACAAGGCAGCAAATTGGTGAATTCCCAGTTATGGCCCAGGGATGTGCAGTTTTGGAGGTTGGCTGAAGCTGGGCACTGGTGGTGGGATGCTCTGGATGAGTGTCACACTGCAGGGAGTACAGGAAAGGGTCTGGTTTGCTTTTATAAACAAAAACAGAGAGGGCTGCGCTGTCAAAGGCCTATTTTTGACTAGGGAACCAAAGCAGACAACTTCTTGCCTTTCATCAGCACAGCGAACCGGCAGTCCCTGGAGTCAGTCAGTCTGCGAGATCCTAGAGGGAGGCAGCCAGGAACCCAAGAGGGACAACAGCCTTGGTGGGCCAGCCTAAGCACACAGTAAACAGCTCTGAGACAGAGACAGCTTCAGACAGATGTCTGGGGATATCCATGGGCTACCAACCTCTCATTTTGGTCAGGATCAGCTTTATTAAATCTGTTTCTACTTGCTTTCTGAAGGCATGCAAGTCACCCACTGCATCCCTCTGCCTGGGTTATGGGTGCTGGGGCTATATGTGCAGCCGTCCTCTGCTGCAGCAACATTTGTGCTTCCCCCACAGGCTCCCAGGGTAGGACTGTTTTTACTAGTTTTCTGATAATACCTGGCACTACAGAGAAATACAGATTTGTTGCTGCAGTCTTGGAGCCCAAACCTTCATCGTATGAATGAAGGACAGAAAAAGCAATATGAATCACTGAGTGACTGGAGAGTTTAGTGTGCCTATCACTTCATTTTCAAGGATGGCTTTGTTATTGCAAAACATGTGTAAAGAATCACACAGCAGCTTAGTAGTGCTGCTGTCACAGCAAATTCATTTTCTGCAGGAGAGAGGAAGACAACAGCAGAGTTATATACACTTGCAACCAAATCTGTCCCTGGTTATCACTTCTGTCTTAGCAAGAGCTGACATCCTGCCTGCTAAGAACATTATCAGAATAATGACACGGAGAATATTGCTGTTGAACAGCCTATTTTCATCCAGCTGCATGGGGAAGGCATTTTGTAAACAACATGTTGGGGCTTTGACAGAATTAAATACAAATAACCTGAAGTTTCCACTGACACCAATGTTAAGATTAAAATTCCTGAGCGCCAGCTGCCTGAAACAGATGTTGGCCAGGCAGTTCTCCCACTTCCCACCCAGCTCAGAGACCCTTTGCTGCTACCATGTCTCTGAGTGCAGCCAAAGAGCCCTGCAAAGCCATCAATGCCACTAGCTTCCTGCTAAGGGGATATAGCAGTGCTGTCCTAGCCCAAACCTGAATTCACATCCACAACAGAGTCTGGAGCTTAGCCAGCTAATATTCTAATTATTTACACTAGGCTTCCAATTCTTCATTAGAGCAAAAGGCCCTCAAAGACTTAAGATACCAGCACCTCTGCCTATGGGAGAAGCTGGGAAGGACACACTGCTGTTCTGCAGGCAGTCAGAGCTACACAACCATCACATCAGCAGCTCAAACTTTAGATACTCAAGAGTGACAACTACTTGAAAAATCAGACTACTTTTAAAATTATAATACTTTTTAGGAAAAAAAAACAATCTAAAATCCCACCCACCTGTTTTACACAGTTCAAAGTCAAATGAGTCACCCAACTGAACCAGGGTGCTGTGAGATATAATTGTTTTACCTTTTCTGTGCCCATTTCCTAACTCAGAAAGAATGAGAAACACACACCAAGTTAATTCAGCATTACTCATAAATTGTATCAGGATACAGTTGGATATTAAGGTAAACTTAGAATTTCAGAGATTATTGCAAGGAACAAATCTACTCCAAGAGAAGTGTTTTAAGTGAGGTTATGGGTATATTTTACATATGTGATATATATATATGGGTATATATGTTAAAAACCAGACTTGGGTTTTAAGTGAAGTGATGGGCAATTCTCTCTTTGAACATCTCCCTCATTCTGGAGAACATGGCAAGATTTCCTCTCGATATTCGAGAGCGTGTATGAAGATCTGTGTTCATACCATAAGGCATTCAGAGGAGAAAAAACACTCTCTATTCTGGTGACAATCTGTGCATGTTTTCTAAAGCATGGTTTTAATAAAAAGGTCAGTTCTATCACATGGTGTACAATTCTGTAGTGTGTAAATACATGTTCTTAAGGAAGCAAGGAAATAAAAGTGTCACCTCCTCTTAGTCCTCTTTGAACATACATTATAATGACATGACATCTCACCAGTCTCCTTTTATAAAATTATCATTTAAACACAATCTGTTTATCCATTTAATTATCTCTTCCAAACCTGGATTTAACCAGCCAGATAAAAATTACTTGTTTACTGTATAAAATCCCAGTGGAATTCTGCCCAAGGACTGTGGGTTGGACTCTTCAGACTCCCTCTGCTTTAATTTGTATGTATTTTATAGTACTAATTTCACTGAAACTTGAGTAAAGCCAGTCAGATGCTTGTGAGAAATTAGTTATCCAAACTTCGTAATTCATACGATTTTAACTGTGTTTAATTGTTGAAAATAACAATTTCTGTTGGAGAACAAAGCAAGTAAAAGAAAAGCCAGTAAAAAATGGAACGTTGCAGTACCATTTCAGAAAATTTAGCAAAAGTTACCAAAACTAAGTATATGATCTTAATTTAGCAAAAGACTCAAGAAATCATTATACAAATTCATTGTTCATTACATTCTACTTGTCTTTAATTTTCACTGTTCAACATTAACATTAGACATCGTAAAGGTATGCAACATTTATATAAAATTAAATAACAATATTGGAAAAATAAATACACTTTTACATAAATACATAAATCCATACTGCTGAAAAGTTTCAGCTAATACTATACTCTTGTTTCAAAAGTGACCAAGAAAATATGGTAGTGACACTCCATCTCAACAGATGAAGTATGTACAGCTACAGGATGATGTTTGCAACCAATGGCAGAGCTAAAGCAAATCCAGGTGACACCACACTAAAGGAAAAAAGTTTGGCCGTTACTACCTACAGTAGTAGCACGAGGTAGACATACACATGGAGTGTTCTGCTGGAGGGACACGAAGCCCTGTGGACCCTATAGATGCTTCTCAGTCTTCAGACAGCTCTGGGGTCCCCTAGGTCAGAGCCCAAGGACACCTCGGTAAATAAGACTGGAAAATCAAGTCACTTTGTGGCAGCAATTGGGGCTCAGCCCTGCAGCACCTTCCCATGTGGAGGCCAAGGGCTGTGAGCCCTGTGGGTAGCTGGGAAGAGGTACCACAGGCAGGACAGGATGTCCCTGCCCTCCACCTGTCTGCCTGACACCCCACCCGCTCCCAGGAGAGCGAGGAAGGACAACCCACCGAGGTTAGTATGACTGAGTCAAGGGAATTTTTTCCTGGGTAAAAAGAAAACAACTCAAAACCAAGCTAGAGGACTGCACCCTGCCTCTCCAACAACGAGGAGCAGGCACAGACCTGGAGCCTGCTCCTGAAACAGCTGTGAAGAATGCCACACAACTCTGTCCACACCTTTGGTTCTTGCAAATGGTCCAGCACAGGTAGCCAAGGTTGGCAGCACCTCCCAGCTGGTAAATCCTGCAGAGCAGTCAGTGCACACGTCGCCAGCTCTGCTTACCTTCCCTCGCTCATGGGTAGCACCAGCCAGGTCGGCGGACAAGGGACACATTAGCACCTCAAATGAAATATTTCATAGCACTGTTGCTTGTACTGGTGAAGCACCGGATAAACACCAGTTCAGCAGTTTTATGGCTATTGCAGAACTCACTGAGGTATGGTAAAAATACAGAGGAGGATACTGAAGGCATCCATGTCACTGAAAGCACCCGCAGAATGAGAGGTGGTTTTGGCAAGATGACTTTTCAAACTGTGACAATTAAGGAAGTCCAATACATTACAAACAGGCCTCTTTTTGATTTTCCTATAAAGTGCTTTTGAGTCAGATTATTTTTTTTAAACTTCTTCAAATGCTTTTATAACAACATACACAATAAAGATTGACATTTGTTTAAAGGCCACTTCAAAAGAGACAGGTCTGTGGTTTCCAGCGCTCCAGAAGCACCCCAAGTGGCACTTGCCTTGGTGCAGGGCTCAGAGCAGAGGGTGCTGCTCTGGGCAGGGAGAATTTCAAAGCTGTGGCACCCAAAATAGCACCCCAACCCTGCAGTTCAGGGCTGCTCGGCCCTCATAAGAGCATCTCTGTAGCAGAGTCCTCCAGCAGCAAAGGAGCAGTATAAGAGAACCTCTGCTCCAAACACTATTTTGTCATTGGAAAACTCCCAGGGTTTTAAGCCTTCTAGCACCTTGCTGATCCTTTGCTGACTTAATGATAGAGCAGCAGCTGGAGATCAGGCTAGACAATCACTCTCCAGAACCAGAGCGATGCACAAGGACAGCTTAGAGGTGCCTTTGCACTGTACATCACACTCATATTATATACACAGGAACAGAAATTAGAGCACGGGTGTGAATGCACACGTGTTTCTACATAGGTCTATGTGTGGGCAGGTAGGGACTTGCACACACATCTGTACACACTTGTACACGGCTGGGAATTGATGCAATTTAGTACATTCTACCCAGTCATCTTGCTTTTGGCAGAGAACACGCGACTGGTAAACCAGTAGGTGCACAGTGCACTATTACCATTAAAGAGCAGAACAATTTAACTTCAATGGCAATGTACTGCTTGAATGCCAGGTTTAAATTCATATGCAAAGAACTCAGAACCAAGATTCACAATGCACAGCGCTTGCACGGTGTAATAAAATGGACAAAGGTGGCTACTTAGCAGAAAGTGCCTTTTAAATTAAAAGATTTGAGCTCCTCTAATGTAAGCTCTTCCTGAACAGGTGTTATTCTGAATATATTGTCAATAATCCTCTTTAAGTGCAGTTTTAAGACATGAAGCATTAGCACCTTGGTTCGAAGCAAATTAAATCTGTTGTTATGGGATATCCACAAAACGGTTCACAAAGAGAAAGAGTTTATGGTCGTACCGAGCTCCAAGGACCAGCGCTCCAGGCAGCATCTCTAGGACAGTCCTGCACATTGCACTGCTCTCTGTCCGGTGGCTTGTCAAGGATTTCACAGCTCAGATCCGTAAACCTTTCTCCATTGGGGCGCTGGCACACCACCAGCCGCGTTCTTGTCCCTCCCCCGCATGGCTTCGTGCACTGGAAGTCAGCAGAGGACAGAGCAATCACCGTCAGGGCAGCAAAAATACTGCTGACCAGCTGCTCGAAGCATTAGCACCTCAGAAGCCCAATGGTTGTTTCTGTTCCCAACGAACCCACTCCAGCCAAATCCCCCCCAAATGCCATGTGAGACTCAGAAGGGGTATCAGCTGCTTCAGCTTCTCTCTTCCTGAAACTGTTCATGCTGCTCCACCATGATCCTGCCAGACCCAACAAGATACTGGATGTTTACATCTCCAATTGCTTATCTCAGATGAATTTTCAGAAGGGAGCAGTGTTTTTATTGCAAAAAGAGGCCTTATATTAAACTAGGCTTCTCTTAAAAAAAAAAAAATCTCCATCTTTGTAGAATTTGCTTTTGCTTGGGAGGAAAATTTTCCCATGACAAATGGAAAGGAGAACAACACCAAACAGTTGCTAGGGCTCACTCATTTATCAGAGGCTGCCTTTCAAGTTCCAATCTTTCTAATAAATGTCACCACAATATCCCTCTCTTCTTCCATTTTTCAGCTGCCCGCTAATGAAAGTCATCCCCTGTGCTGGGAGCCCAGGATGGATGGTGCACTCACCTCTCCCCAGTTGCCATAAGCCCACTGCGGACAGGGGCCAGATTCGCACGATCTCTGCTCCATGGGTTTGCTTTTCTCATCGCAGTTATTTGCAGTGTATCCGTTTTCATCCTGGCACACCACGACCCGCCGCTGGAACCCCCCCGCACATGTGCTAGAGCACTGCAAGACACAATTGCCCATGGCTTCGTTGAGTCCAGGAATAAGTGTGCATTCCCAGCTCCTTCCCAGTGCCTTGCACCGTGGGAATGCACTGCTAGAAATTTAATACAGCTAACAGGCATTATTAAACTTCAAACCCCAGCTATTATTAATAGCAGCGCAATGACTTAGGTGCTGACTAAGCAAAGAAAGTAAACACCAGCCTAGTTTTAAGCAGGTGAGTAATCCCCACTGACTTTAATGCAGTGTTTGACATCCCATTTGTCCTTAATTCCCTTTAGGGACTTCCATGCTAAAGCACTGCATACTGGTTGGAGTGAGACGAACTGGCATTGAGGCTCCGCTGTGCTTTGGCAACAACTCTGCACAGCTGTAAACATCCCGGGAGACGGCCAAGAAGCAGAGGTTGGCCTTTGCCTCACGGAAAATGATGCTTTCAGCTTTCTGCCTAGAGAGTCTTGGAGATATGAGGTGTGAGAGGCTGAGAGGTGAAGCCTGAGCGCTACTGCAACACTTGCTTCTGTGAGCAGAGAGCGGGAGAAGGGTCCCTCTTTTCCCTGCACGGTGACTAAAAGGAAAGACTGGACTAGTCCAGAAAGAAAACCAAAACCAAACAGCAAAACCCAGCAGTAAGAAAACCAGGGCACTTACAGCACCCCAGGGGCCAATCCTCCACTGATTGCCTCCCGGTATATGCGCACGGTTTCGGTTTGGGCTGCCCCCCGGGTGCACTTTCAGGCGATGATCCGGATAGAGGAAAGGGTGGATGGGCCTGCCGTAGTCATGGCTGTTTGGATGACAAGGAGACATGGAGCAGTCTTGCTCGGTGGCAGGGAGGTCGTCTGGGTCACACTCACTCCTATCCACCAGCTGGTCACTGTAATTGATGCAGATCACTTGTCGCGTTGCCTTACCTTGACCACAAGTCACCGAGCACTGTGTTACAGTGGGAAAAGGAGACAATCACATTTCCAGCTTTGAAAACCAGAAAGACAGCTATTGCTAACAACAATCAGCAGAAAACCTTAATATCCTCACTTATAAAAGTGCAAGTGTGACAGATTAATGAAGCACATTTCCAGCAGTGAGGTCTATAAGGCTGTCCTGCAAGAGACAGCGTGATGCTTACAGAGCTCCACTCCAAGGCTTTCCACTGCCCACATGGTGTCACGGTGCACATTTCTGTAGCTGATGGCTTTGGAAGGTGGAAACAAGCTGACTCGTCGGCCACGGAGCCCTGGTCATCCCGACAGCTGACGTATCTCATCCGGGTACCCTTCCCACATGTTGCGGAGCACTAGGGAAGAGCAACAAGCACTCTGCTAGGCAGTTTCCTGATATACATTGCAAGGACTTTGGAATGAAAAGTTGCTTAAACACACTTAAAAATATCATATTGTCTACTGTAAAATAATCCTGAAAGTATTATGACACGTGCTTACCGGTGTCCAGGATCCAAATCTCCACTGTGTCCTGTGAACGCCTGATATGGATCTCTTGGCTTCGGGACTATTTGGATGGGGAGGACATACAGCTATTTCACAGTCCTGTGCAGGAAATAAATGAGGGAAAACTGGGAAATAAAGAATTTGCAGATGTTTTGCTTAAACCACCTCCTCTTCAATGTAATTATGAATAACATGCAATATCTTGAAACTCTGGGACCTGCGTGCCTGTGTGGAGGCAGGCTTCCTCCTTGCATCCTCTTGGTGAATCAGCAAAACTCAGTATCAGCATCCCAAGGCCTTTATATGCAGAACCCTCCGTGGACTTTTGACTTATTAGGAATTCTACATCAGGGATCCCCATAACCATGTGCCATCTCCACGCATTAAAACCAGATGTTTTTGAGGCAAAAGATGAAAGTTCATTAAGAGTTCTGGTATGAACACACATCTGCAAAGCAGCAACTTTATCTCCCTTCAAAGCTCCCTTCCTTCAGCACAAGACCTGCAGCCCACACAATAAAGGTTATGCTGCTGATTGCAGCCCTTTGATTCCCTGCAGCCCACCAGACCGCCTATATCCATGTGCTGATCTTCACCACACACCAAGCATGTGAGGGTTTGGGGACAGGCATGTCATTCTGCACAGTCTTGGTACAGCGCCTCACAGGAGGGCTCTGGTCCTGTCTGGGCCTCCTGGGAGGTCTGGCGACAGAAATGATGAATAGCCATGACTTTACTCCATGAGTAGTCCTTGCCAAAAAGGAAATTAATACTGATTGTCCCCGCGAGGGAGAGCGCGGCTCCTGACAAATGGCATACATGATTTCTGGATGGTTGTGATTTCACTGACACTGGAGACATGCATGCCAAATGATGGCTGATGACAAGTGGGTTTGTTACCCCTTCACTGTAGTGCAATTGGTCTCCATACATGGGAAAAACAGCCCTTTCCCAAATGTTGTGGCCTCAGTTAAACTCTGCGAGGTCATGCAGGACTGAAGCTGGGCAGGGCATCAGCACTATGACTCTCCTATGACAGACAGATGGTAATGTTCTGTTTTATTCAACTCCTTCAGACACCTTGGACACATCCTCTGCTTGAAAGGGGAATTCATATGTTTGCTTCCAAGTACACAGCATGGAAAGCCTCTTCAGCAAATTTGCAACTTGTACAACATTTCTCAATTTATCTAGCCAGGGAGGATGTCCCTGGAATTGTAGCTGCCACAAACACTACCATGTCACACGCAGCAGGCAAGAAATTATATCCCCTCACCATCATTTGTATCACACAGCAAAAATGCTGCAGCCACGTGAGCCCAGACTGCAGCCAGGCATCCTCAACTCCATGCAAGTCAAAGGAGGTGTCTGCTGTGTCTGAGAGGCCAGTGAATACTGACTCAACCTTATGGTCTCTGGTTGTTTTCCCATATATCCACTGTGGCTTCTTTGGCTCGTGAGCTCCTAGAGACCAGCTTTAGCTCTGCATCTGAACGGCCCCTCTCACATCCCATCCTATGGCTAGAGCTCCGTGGACATAAACCATAAGCAAAGGTAATTAATCTTCACCCCATGAAGTCCTGATGCCCTCATAACAAGTTGTCCATTGCCTTTTTGGCAATTTGGTGCTTCGAAGTGTAAGCTCAGGCACACATGGAGAGAGTCTGGATGGGAAATCCTTGATTATGGCTTCTCTGCCCCACTTCTACCAAAGCAGGGTGCTGTGCTACACCTTTCCAACAGCCATGCAGCAGACCAAAGCACTGTCCTGCATGGGCTGGTGTTCAAGGCAAGGCTTTGCTGCAGAAAGGTGTCCCCTGATGCTACAGCCTGGATGCCTCCATATGCATGCTGGCAAAAGATGGAGACAGGGCAGCAGGATTTACCTGGGTATCTGTTGGCCTGGTTGCAGCGTTACACTCATTATCATCCACCACTGACACGTAGGTGCCCACAACACACTTCACTGCTCTCATCTGGTAGCCTTGGCCACAAGTCACTGTGCACTGGGAGAGGAGAGACGGGAGAAAAAAGTGCTGGGTCTGAGTAGCTGCTTCAGTTAGAAAGTATTAATCAGTCCAGTCTGTATTTAGGCACGCAGCAAGAGCAGCAAAAATAAAACACAGCTTCCTTTCTGGTTTCTCTCCACTTCATGCATTTCAGCTTTAAATTAGGTCAAAGTTTTAACTCACTGCGCCCACCAGTGCCTCACACGCTTCACTTGCTTCCTTGGGAATGAAGGTGTGAGCATTGAAATGATTTACTTTGCTGCACACATTAGAATCAGAGTCTGGGGTAGAACCTGCATGATATCCTTCTTTAAAACTGGTTGTTCAGCCCCATGGTAGCACGAGCAGCTAATGAATAATTTTGCTGATGGGAAATATGTCTGACTGGGACAACTGGTCTGGGTTTGCTGCTGTTTTTTTAAGTCAAGAGCTAACAGCTTCGTGGAAAAGCAGATGCCAGAACACTCTGGGAGAAATGAGCAACTTGTATTTTAACAGAAAAAACCCCCTCACCAACCCAGAAACTGGAAAACATTAAAAGCAACAAAAGTTATTCAATGGGGGCAGCTTTTCTGTGAAAATTAGGCCATGTATTTATATGCCTAAATATGGATTTAGGAGCGTAACCTTGGAAACCCCTTTTTTGAAAATCACAGCCAATTTAGTATGACAGAGATTAAATTTAGCACAAAGGGCAGGTACTGTTATTGCTGCCTATCCGCTGAACCCAAGCGACCAGAGGGCTGCTTTGGTGTGCAAATCAATTAGCACAGTTATGCTGCTGAATTTGGATGAAAGGGCAGCGCCCAGCCTCAGCCACCCTCGCCCAGGTCCCACTGGCTCGGAGCCCCACGGGGCTCTGCAGTACCTGGCCCCACGGCCCCACTTGCCACGATGCACACTCCTGCTGCTGGCACGTCTGCACCGACTCCGGCTTCGTCTCGGGATCGCAAAACCTGTCATTTAATCGATCTTCTCCAAACTGGCACCAGGTCTGGCGGTGCTTGTGCCCTTTTCCACAGGTGACCAAACACTGCAAGGAGAAAAGTGCAAGCTCAGGTGGTGCCGGGGATGCGCAGCCAGCTCAGCACCTGCCCTGGCACTGAAAAATAAACCTGGAGACCCACTGCAACCACTGCTTAAAAAAGAAGTGGTGCTAAGAGGCAATTCTTTAGCTAACAGTAACAACGTCCTGGAAGACAGGCAAGTGTCTTGCAATGAGAGAGGATTGCTCTGAGGAGCTGGTCTGGAGCAGACGCTGGAGCATGGAGCACAGCCAGGCTGAGACCCCTCAGCACGGGCAGAGTGAGCCCACAAAGACTTGTCTTCCAGCAGCTGTGAGACACAGGGCAAAGGCACAGCACTGTCCTGTGGGGTTTTAGCTGTGCACAGTGGGGTGACAAAGGCTTCTGAAAAACTTGCTCAGCTCTGGGTGTGTATGTTAAGGGTCTTGACTTCTGCGGGCTGCAACAGCCTCTTCTACTGCCCTGGAGTGGCTTGGCCTGCCAGCAGCTTGACTCAGGAGACAGATGTTTTGCAGAGAACAATCCCTGTTCCACTTAATTGGTTTCATTATGTCCTAAAAGAATACAATTCACAGAAACAAGAGCAATTTGGCCACAAAGGTGACAAGCAGCCTTTGAAGACTGTTCTCCAGCATCCCCAGTCCTGCTGCAGGAAAATGCCTATCAAGATACAGTTTTGTTGCATTGCAAAGGACACCAGCAGCAGCAGAAGAGGCAACAAACAGCAGGGAGAGGCTGAGCAAGACATCAGTAGGGTGAAATCCTGCCCTCCAGTGACAGCCAGAGCTGCCAGGGCTTTTGAGGACAATCTCAAGGGAAAACGAGGGCAGAAGGTATTTTTCTTCCCAATGTTATAGAGGAACTGTGGAAAAACTAGGGAGAAATTACTGCAGGATTGGAGAGGAATTAACCCCCTGGTAGCTTTGCAGGGAGGCAAGTGGCCACTTGACCAGTGGCAACAAGGCCAGTAACTTTGCTGCCTGTCTGAAGCCTCACTGTGCACAGGCTCAGAGAGACCTTCTGCAAGAGGCACAAACAAATCACAGGGGACGAGCGCGGACAGAGATATCCCTTTGATATCTCTGCAGCCCCTCAGGGTGGAGGACCGGCACCCACCTCGGACCAGTCTCCAGTTTTCCACTGGGGGCAGGAGAAGTCGCTGCACCGCTGCACCGTCAGCTTCTCCTGCTGGCTGCACTTGCTGTCGTCCAGGACGTCGTTGTAGGTGTTCACGCACATGGCTCGGCGCCGCCGCGTGCCCCCGCCGCAGCTCTTGGAGCACTGCGAAGGACAGACAACGACTAAGTATTTTCTGCCACTCTACTGCTGTTGCCTTTCTCCCTCCTCACAGCCAGGACTGCAGAGTGACTGCAGAAAACCTCCGGAAGAACAATTTGAACTTTAAGTAACAGGTTTTTACTTTATGTATTCCTTTAAAAAGCCAATCTTGCTAAAGCTTAATAAAATGTCACGGCAATGCATTTCACAAATTTATTTCAGGTTATAACCCCATTATTACTTTTACAAGTGTTGCCTTTCAGTTCTCCTAAATAGCTGCTGCTCGTTCTCATTTTAGGAGAGATTAACTCCGTCTGACCAGCCAGCCCCCCTTCACTATGCCCTCCCTGGAAAGCCCCAGGCTCGTCAATATCTCAGTGCCAGGCCTGCATTCAGGAATTTTCTTGTTCAAGCGAAAACTAAAATGTGTTAAGGAAACAAATTTCAGAAGTCCTCTGCTGATGGCAACGCGTCCTCAGCAGCTCCTGGCAGTGGTGATGGCTTTGATGGGAGAAGACAGCTAGCAGAGCTTAGTGTAATGAGGACTTTGGGATGCTTAAAAGCATAAATTAATTGCAGGGGAAAATAAGGAGTACCAGGCTGATTTAGACTACAGTGTCCTCCAGAAAAAGCAGTCAAAGAAGAATCATGGCCAACTTTTGTGGCCAACTTTTACATATGTGCTGTTTGCAACCTAAACAGCCCGACGTACCCCTGTGCAAGGGGGAGACAGTGTTTGCCGTGCGATGAGCTTCCCTTACCTCTGTCCAGGCCGAGTACCGCCACCCTCCCACGTTACAGTCTCCAGTGCACTTCTCCCTGGTGCTGGGCTTGGGCTGGCTGCTGCAGAAGCGGTCATCCACCTTCTCTATCTTGCCCTCCAGCCTGCTGTACTTGGAGCAGTAGATCTCCAGGATGCGGTAGCCCAGCCCGCACTGTGCTGTGCACTCGCTCTTCCTCGCGATGTGCCACCTGCGCCGAGGAGAGCAAACATCAGCTGCGGGGTTCCAGCGCTCTGCAGGTGACGTGCTCGAGGGTGTTTGACATAAATAGGGAATATATGCTCTTGAACTGGAAGTTCTGGCTTTTTGTAACACTTCCCAATGCTTTGTGACTTCCAAAAATCAGAGGCAATTAATCCTGGCATTGCTCCTTGAAGGGAAGGAGCTGTCGCCAGGTCCCTCTTGCAGACAGTGGAGTCACACTGCGACCCTGTGGGACCAGCCAAAGTGGTGAGGGGAATCTGTGGCCAAGCAAGGAGCAGTGCTTTGAATGCTTTGCACCCCACATTCCTCTGCAGGAGTGCCACCTCAGCCTCTAAAACTAAAAGTTGGAAAATACAGCATCAGAAAATGACCTGCAGAGGCTCGAATTGTGTTCCACATGGCAGGACACCTGCAAAACAGTCTCAGCTCTCCAAAGGACAAGCAAATGACTTGCTACAAGACACTTGAGCCCCAGTGGTGTCAGTGGGAATTAGAGGTGTTCCCTCTCAACAGACAGATTTCCACTCTGCTGCCTCCTTCCTAGGATGGACAACAAGGATTGGTGCTGGTGGCCCTCAAGGACCCACCTGGGGATACACCCCTGCTTCCTATCAGCCCAGCCCTTGCAAAAGATGCTGGACATGAGGCCTGATCCAGGGAGGTGCTGGAGACCCTGAAGCCAATAGGAGCCCATTGCCCCTCAAACCTGGCAGGGGTTTCCCCTTGGGGACCTGGAGACCCCCGGGCTGTTGCCAGTGCCCGTGCGGGGAGTGCAGAGCCCCACTCCCAAGCCAAGAGAGCAAACTTGAGCACAGCCCAGAGAAGAATAAGATCAAGGGGATTTGGAGTCAATAGTTCCTGAGTGGTGGGAGCCTCACATCCCTGCCTGCTTTTCAGACTCCTGCGTTTGCCCTTCTCAAGTTTCCAACCTGTTGCAATGGCAACAGCTGTTACCGCGACAACCCGACCCTACACAGCCCCTGCACGGCCCCGGTTTAACAGAGCCAGAGAAACCCCTCGGGAACTCGGCCATCTGAATTGCTTCACCAGCAGCCGCTTAATGCCACCATATTTAAGCCCCAGAAAGGAAAACAGATTGCTTTTTAAAGGAAAATGGGTTGTGATGATTTAGGCTGTGCTCCATCAATTCCAGCACGCCAGGAATTGTCTGGGGACAGCCACAAACCCACTCTACACTAAAGCCTATTCTTTGCTTTAAATAAACGATGATAAATTCAAATATTAGTTACTTCTTTGCTTTAAGTATATGTTTTTCCATCTTTGCAGGCTGTTTGTAGGATGGTGCTGAGCATTTCTGACAGAGGCAGATGCAGATTTCAGGCACTGTATTGCACAGGGAGATTTTTCAACATTAGGAGCATTTTTGTTATAGTTAGTCCTAATTTAATGCAACAAGAGAAATGTGAAAATGTACAACTGTGCCTTTCAAAACACTGCTGGTTCCCTCTTGGTTGACAAAGAGGCAACTACTAATCCTTTTCTTTTTTAAAATCTAATGCAGGCTGGTGAGAAAAGGAATTGTGGTGAGAGGTGAAAGGAAAGAGTAAACAATAAATACACAATGTAATGTATATACGCAGCTGAGCAGAGTGCACCTTAATTCACATTCAGTGTTACAAGGCTCAGTGGTGGGATCAGGCTGTGGAATTCGATCGCATCGCTGGTCTGACACCGTGAGCTGATCTGACTCTCTCTTACACACAGGTTTCCTTTTTCTTTCTCCTGCACAGAGAAAACCATCACATTGTTTGCCATGCAGGAAAGTGATCAATTCAGTTATTTCTTTACCCCTTTTATGGTAGCATTTAAGAGATGTTCAAATGTGCTTTTCCATCTCTTTCAGAAACAGGAGGGGGTTATGACTGAGCGGAGCAGAAGGGGTTTATTGCAGAAGGGATGGACACAGGCAGAGAGCTGCAGCCCCCCCTGCGAGAATGGGCTCTGAGTGTTTAGCAGGGTGGGCACTGGCAGGTGGCAATGATTGGATATCAGACCCCAAACCAGACACTGATGACTTTTGCAGCCTTAGCAAATGTCATGTAATGTTTTCTGTGCTTCAGCTTCCTCATCTGCAAACCAGGTCGTGAGGCTCACCTTGCTCAGAGGGGCTGTAAAGTGCCCTGCTCTGAAACCCATAAGCACCTTGTAAGGTGTTATCTACTACTGAAGCCCAGTGAAACGATCACACCCATAATGTGGGAATTCAAAGAAATCAAACAGAGAGGGATCTCAGCCCTGCCCAGATCCCAAATGAATCCAGGACCAAACTTAGCCTTCTCAAACACCCACCTTGACAGAGCTTACTGCAGGACTGCCATGGGCCATGCTCATTCCAGTAAAACTGCTGAGGTTTGTCCTCAATGGGGATATTAAATGTGTAACGAACATCAGGATTGTACAAATTGCCAACTGATAAAACCTGAGAGGAAGAAAAGTGAAGCAGAGTAAACCAACAGAAATCACTGGCCACTATTTTCAGCACAATTATGCTGGGCAGACTTTTCCATACACACAACATATACTTCACCTGGAGCGTTATTTCTTGCTCAATCCGATCTGTAGAATTAATCCTTTCAACAGTATTATCCGATCCACTGTATTCGATCACAGCATTCCCAACTTTGATTTCCCTTTTAAACATACTGACGACAAAGTCTCCATTTAATATAAAGTCTCCTTGACTGTTAGATAAGGCTGCATAGGTGCAAAAAACAAGAACTAAAGAAGCAGAATTAACTCATACGTACACAATAACGTGGGTCATGTGCTCTCAGTGCTCCTTTCCTTTGGGGCTGGGAGGAAAAGCCCACTAGCACTCTCAAACAGAAAGGATGTAAAGAGAGCAGCAGAGCTTTTGCAGATATTGTTCCTTCTCCTTTTTCCACTGGAAAGCCTCATTAAAATGAAGGCTGAATGCCTGAAGTTGTTGTTGAACAGTTCACCCATAACCCTGGGCAGAGATATCCAAAAGGCTGCTGTACGGAGCACACACAGGCTGTATCCCCTCATATACCACAAAAATAATCCTGTCCAAACCTTTTCATAAGCCATGTGGATAGAATGGCTTCCCTGTTGTTTCCAGGTGTATTCTTAGGGTAAATGTTTGTACCCTAATTGTCTAAACATCATTTTCTAGTAGATAATTTCAGGAAGTTTGGTCAGTATCTCCCCCTCTCTCTCCATCTCCCTCCTCCCCCCATACTTTTTATTATTCCAAATCTTAAGGTATGTGAAAGCACTGAAGGCTTAAAGCCTAAATGCTTTATAAAAGGAACAGTTTCCTGAAAACAGCAGTCTGCTGCACAACTTCACACTAATGCGATTATGTAGCTAATTTCCTAAGTTAGTTTCCCCACCATTTCACCCATCACAGCTACGTTACTACAAAGCCCCTGTACTGAAAAATCCAAACTTAACACCAAAACACCAAAGGCAAGGTTTTTCCATCGAATGAGGAGAGATAATGAAGTAAAACACTGCTCTATAGCAAACAGACGTAGATGGAGAAAAACTCACAAAGCAGAGGCTATACTCAACCAAATCCCACACTTTGGAGGCTTTAATGTTATTAGGCAGTAGTAAAACTCACTAAAGGACTCCTTCCTGTTTACTGTATCTCCTACAACAGTAGGTACATGTCTTGGACTTGATGACAACATCAAATTCCTCCTAAATTGTTAAGCAACTACAAGGTTCACAGTACCAAGGGCCTAAGATTTCACACTCAGTGAGCTGCAAAATAAGTGGACACATGCACACTTCTCATTTGCTTCTAGTCAGGCCTAATGTGAAGAGATGCTTTCCCAGCAATATTAAAGCAACATTAAAGAAGATTTGACTTCATTGCTTCCCAAGAAGATTAAAGGCCCTCCAAGAAGAGCTGGGAAGTTTGGGGTTCCTTCTGGGATGAACCAGTTTTAACAGGCACAACATGGGGAGGATTGCTTTTTCCAGGAAAGAGGAATAATAAAACTTAACTCCCTTCCACAAGAGGGAAAACAATTACACCACAGTATGTTTTTTTAGTGCTGATGTGCAGTCATGCTGCACCATCTCATTTCACTGATGTGAATGTGCAAAAATTATGTGACACAGCTGCAAATGCACAGAGAGCCCTGCACGGCGCCCTCCTGGGAATGGGGACAGGGAACACCCACTTAGCTTTTTGTCTCAATAAAGGGTCCAGCAACAGGATAGTATTTCAGAGCAACAGCCAAAGCTGTCAGCATTATTTCCCTTTGGTACATGGTAGTCTCCTCTACTTGCTCCTCAAGTGAGTCCTCTTACCTTTGATGGGGACCACCAGCCTCGTCATGTTTTTAACATTCCCAGTTACAGGAATTTTGCAAGATAAAACAAGATGAAGTGCCCTGTTCACAGATGTAAATACAGGACCCTGTGCTATTGGAGCACAGCTGGTGGTGCCAGGCACAGGGCATGTAAAAGAGGAGAACCAGAGACTCTGAGAGACCCCAAACAGGACTTAATGGCAAAACCAGCCTTCAACTGGCAGGTGCAACATCAGTTGTAATGTGCATTTGTGTTACCTCTGCTATTGAGCCCAAACAGAACTATGGGGTGAATTACTGATCAGCATAGTGGAAGAGAGACTCAAGCCCATGCTAAAGTATATGTGTGTGCAACAGAGCGGTCTAACAGAGCACCACAAGCACACTCATCTGCCTCTAGAGGCATACCCACAGGTTAAAGAAAACAGTGACTACGGGAGTCCAACATCTAAAGGTTGGTTTATATCAAAACCAGTATTTTTGGTGCAGAGTATTTCTTTATGGTTATGTATCACTGTCAAGGGCTCAGTCTAAGTGACATCAGAATTATTATTCTCAGAAGAATAGAAAATAATTTCTCTATGTGTTTCTACACACATCTTTCAGGGCATGGTATATTTACTCTCCAGCCAAAGAATGGTGACAGCAGAGATAAAGTCGCAGTGTGGAGACTCCAGCAGAGCTCAGAAGCCTGTTTGGTTCACAGTTTTGTGCCTCAACTCCCATCCACAGTCCAGGCTCAACAGTCCTTCCCAGCCCTACACATACCTTAAGGGGGTATTTCTTATAATCTGTGAACCTCCCAAACTTTGCATCTAGGATGGCATGCATGAAAAGAAGGAAGAAGACAAGGCTGAATGTTTGGCAGACATAGATAAATTCTCGCCAAGAAAACATTTTCCTTAAATGAATTCTTCATCCTCCCAAGCAAAGAGCAGTCAGTAGAGATATCACCACAACCGGACAACAAAGCAGATTTCTGGACCAAAATAAGGACTACAACTCACCCAGGTAGTTGTCATCCTCTGGTTTCCCTGAGTAACTGTGCTGACGCACATCAATATTAGTTGCACCAGCTGGGATGCGAACCACAACGTTATAGCCTAGGAAAGATTTAACAGAAAGTCAAGGCCATAACACAGACATTTCATTTGCTTTCTAGGGGGAAGGGAAATGAGCAAAATTACCTCACATTACACAAGCCGATACTTTTCATTTAGGGATAGCATAAATAGTTATAAAATGGAATATACTATAGCTAGAAGGGTTTTGTGTTTTACATCAATGTTTTTGTAGATTAAGTGTGGTAATGGCTTTTATGGACCCACATTTTTCACTATAAAGTTTTTAGCAACAGATTCTTACCATAATGCACCGTGTTAAATGTGCCTGCAACCGTTTTACATGAAGAATTATCTCCACCACAAACACCACATTTATCTCTTCTTGCTTTTGAATTCAGCACATGATCGCATCCAGCTTGCTTTAAGAGAAAAATTGAAAAAACTAGTTTGAGCAAATACAGACTAGAACAGCATTTACAAACCTCCTAATTAAGGCACACAAAAGCTGTGTATGCAAAAGGCTGCCATGAGACAAATTGTTTTGCTTCTCCACATTTTTCCACTGATTTACAGTGTGGCCATCCCACAAGGTTTTCCAATAAAAGGCTTTTTCGAAAAGCAAGGATCAGAACTGCTGTTTGCACCAGGCAATGCCTTCACTAGAGAAAAATTCTTGCATCAATTGTTCACATAGAGAAAAGTGTGAAAAATAATTGTGATGGAAATGTAAAGGGCTCTGGGGCCTGAACAGGAGGAACTGTGGCAGAGCACAGAAGAAACCATCATTTGGATTTACGCTCAGACCCCCACAGCCCTCACTAACCTAGGGCAGATGTGTAAACAACCTCCACTTGAGTGTGTCCCAAGAAGAGCTGGTGAATGGTCTAGAGTACATGTCTGATGAAGTGCAGCTGAGCGAGCTGGGGGAGCTCAGCCTGCAGAAAAGGAGGCTCAAGGGGAGACCTCATCGCTCTCTACAACTCCCTGAAAGGAGGTTGTAGTCAGGTGGGGGTCGGTCTCTTCTCCCAGGTAACAAGCAACAGGAAATAGCCTCATGTTGCACCAGGGAAGGTTTAGATTGGATAGTAGGAAACAATTCTTCACCAAGAGGTGTCAAACATTGGAACAGGCTGCCCAGAGCTGTGGTGGAGTCACCATCCCTTGAGGTATTTAAAAGATGTGTGGATGTGACATATAGGGACATGTTTTAGTGGTGGACTTGGCAGTGCTGTGTTAATGGTTGGGCTTGATGATGACTTAGAGGTCTTTTCCAACCTAAATAATTCCACGTGTGGCTCTTCTGCAAATCTGGTGGTTGGCACAAGTTTCAGACCAGCTGGGGCTGGCAGAGCCTGGTGATAATGTTGGCAGCCCACGGGTAAAGAGGACACGCCAAGAACTGCGTGGAGCACAGTGCAGAAGTGCCACCCTGCCATGCAAAACTGCAATTCCCCCTTTGCTGAAGAGGGTGGGAGATAATTACCCGGCAGAGGCCCTGCACGCAGATGTCGTTGGTGTCGGGGCCGCAGGGCGTCCCGTCGATGACGCGGTCCCGCAGCTGGTAATACGCCGTGTTTCCCGCCACCCGGCAGAACAACTTGCACCGGTCCTTCATCAAGACTGGGCGTGGGAAGGAGGAAAACCAGAGGCATGTTATCTGAACGTCATCACCCCGAGGTGGCGATGCAGGAGGCAGGATCTGTATCCCCACCCCGGCCACTTACTGCCGCTGTATTTGGGAACCCAGCGCACGTTCGTGGGCAGCCCGTTGATGTTAAAGTGCTTCCCGTCGAAGTCAGCACACTGCTCATCCCGGAAATCCTTCTTCAGCTTTGAGCATGGTTCGGTGTTGCAGGATTTAAACTTCATGCGGCGACCCACACAGTATTTCCCACCATTTTTGGGCCTGCAGAGACAAGATCAGGCTAGACATGAGATGAAATTGCAGTTCTGCACCTGCTCAACACAGTCAGGATTTGCAACACCATTTTGTGGGCTCTGTCTCAGTGCATACCTTTAATTATTAGCCTAGACTGACAAGCAGGAAATGTTATGCAGGTGTCTAACAAAAAGAGGTCGTATATGTGATGCTAAAAAGGGATGAAAAAGGGAGTAATTGCTTTCTGCTGAATGACAACATAGTGAGAGAAGCTAGAGATGAAGAGCAACATCTTCCTCCTCATCTGAGGATTTATTGTCACACCAAGGGATTCTGTCCAGCACCATACTTCCACAACCCCTTCGGTCCTATGAATTTGATGGCTCAGTTTGCATCTGATCTAGTGGTTTGCAAATAACTAACTACCACATGAGAAAGAAGAAAGGGCTTCCTTCCCTGCAGAGGCTGAAAGGCCAGGCAGCACTTAGTCCTTCAGGATTTCTAGCCCCAAATGTTCGAAATGGTAATGTTGGACACTTCAAAACAATTTTATCTCCATGTATTCCAGAAAGCACCAAACATGGCCAATAAATACTTTACCTCCATTTTATAGCAGGATGACAGTGGTATAAACTGGGGAGAGAGATACCATCCAAGCCACATAAAAGCCAGTGGATAAGCCTAGGAGAAACTGTCATTTTGAATTTCCTGACTCCCAGATTCAGGGCTGTAGTCATAAAACTATTTTTGTCCTCATATGTAGACGGAGCCTTTGCCAGAAAACAGATCACTCTGGGGACTGAAAAAGCCTCTACCATTCCAGCTGCTGTCAGCAGTGGTGCAGGAGTGAGCCGCACATCAAAATAACCACCAAACCTACATCTTCTACCCATCTCCAAACAAAACGAGTGCCAGCGCTAGCAAGAAGTGCAGATTAGAAGAGCAACTCACTGGGCTCTGCTATCCTGGCACCCACACCTCCTGCCTTCCAAGGCTGTTTCCTCAGGATCAGCTCTGCCTTACCTTGGGACCAGACACCCATCAGTGCCCCAGGGATGCTGTCAGAGTGCATCTTCCCTTGGAAGGGAGGGAAGCTGTTTTGCACACTTGGAGACCCTTTAAGATGCAAATGAACGAAACGGAAACGGGAACTACCCCTGCCCTTAGCAGGGAGATGCTCACTGTGAGCTCTCCACTTTGCATGCAGCCAGCACCTCTAACAAAAGAGACAGCACCCCCCTGCACATGGAAGACAGCCTCTACACACAGTGAAACAACAAGTTCCTACAGCTGAACAGAATTTTTTAGCATCTCTACACATCCAACACCTAGGAAGCCCGGCAATGCCTTTTCTCCCAAAAATAACAATTCTTCACTCTTATGCTTGAAAACTCTTTGTGACTCAAGTAGCAGAGTTCCTGTAAAACAAACGGGGAGACAGAGGCACAGAACAGCTTGCCCTTGCTGAAAGATTGCCTGCAAAGCAGGGAAAGGCAGGCAGACTTCCCACCTCTCCATTAGCACCACACTAGGGATGCTCACTCGTTTGGCAGGAGTTGCCTCCTTAAGCGGTTCCAGATGAGATGATGAGAACTACCAGCTACAAACGTGGGATTTTTCCTGCCAGCATCCTCTCCTTGCTGAGATCCACACTGCTGTGGTGCAGACCGTTCCAGTCCTATCCCAAATGCCAAGGGGTATGATTTGTCTTCAGGCACAGCCTGGAGCAATAGCTGGTAACATCAGCTCTACCTGCTCCAAGGGCAGCTCTCATGTGCCACCTGGAAATGAAATGTGTGCCATTTGCAAAGGTTTATGATGCTTCCAATTAAAGCAAGTGCCCGTGATAAAAAGCCCAAGCAATCACACAGTGCCCAGTGCAGATTTCTAATTACATACTGATTTTACACCAGTTCCTAGTGGAGCAAGTCTAAGCCTGGTTTCTACTGATTTAGTCTATTCTCCACCTTGTTGTGTCACACAACTTGAAATAACTTGATTACACCTGGGACAACTCCAGAGCTAACCCAGTGCAGCGGTCCCTGTAATTGCTGGGGTTTTCCCACCACTGGAGGCTATCCCAGGGACTATTCCCAGAGCCCAACCTGTAGACTACTCCCATGCAGGCACATTAGCTACCTCCAGCTACAAAGGGACATCTCAACAATCTCACTATACAGCACTTAGGGAAACTTAGTTGTGGCAGCAGCACACTCTAGATCTTGGTGAGTCCATGTCATCCACGGGGATTCATTTTCATTTCGAAAGCATTTAAACCACAGCAGAACTGTTGCAGTTTGACAGAGGCTCTAAGTTACACAAACCTCTAAGAGGGCATTTCTTTAAAAAAAGTTGCAGTTACAACATTGTTATGGTAACCACATTGCTTCCAATATAAATCAATTTAATTAAAATGAAACTTTTAAATATTAAGTTAGTTACGAAGAACTTGCAGGAGCATTTTCTTTTTTAAAGGGTATGTCTAACAAAATCTAAAGATTTTAGTTTCCTCTTCTCTAGACATGACCCCTGAGACTGAGATAACATTGACACACCATGAACTGAAGGATGCTAAAACTTGCCATTGTGTTGCAAACTGTCAGCGTCATAACTGTGGCATTAAATCTCCCCTCAGACAGAGCTGGGAGTCGAAGCACACTCACACTTCTGACATTTCAAAACTGCTCCAAACCACCCTGACAGTTTTAGGGTGTTTTTAAACCAACACTGCTTTTCACAGTGTCTAAGGAAACAGAAAGAGCTGAACCTGAAAAATAAGTCAACCTTATGTGACATTGATTTTCAGTGTCACTGCATACTTCCCTCTACGTAATATTTTTATGGATAAACAACAATGTACCACAGAGACAGAAGGGAAAGTAGTACATGCATAGAAATCTCCTTGTCCACTTTCAATCCAGTATCACTCCCTTACAAGCTGCTGCACACACTCCAGCCTCACTGCACTCCTCCCAGTAGCCCAGAAACTCTTAGGCCCAGGGAATGGTGGGGTCTAATCCCCACTCCCACCCCAACAGGTCTTAAATATGTGATGTTTAGTGCTTCACCTGCAATCATTAACTTTGAATATTTTCACTTGCAGACCTTGTGGCAGCACCCAACTCCCAGGAGTCCAGGAGCACCAGGTACAGGCACCCCTCCAAGAAGTGCTGTTTTGGGGCTGCTTTGCACTTGCTCACCCCCATGGGTGGTACCTCTGCCTGGGAGCACAGGCAGCCACAACGAAAGGCCCCTGAAGAACTGCAGGGCACGTGTGTTCATCTGCATATCTGCCAATGTACCTGTCCTGTACACGTACCATGTACCTGTGCGTGACTGCAGAAAAATCTGCGAAGCTCTAGTGTGCACAGATCAGTTTGAGATATCCTGGGAAGCCCTGGGACTGGGAATTGGTTGGTGTGCTGCCAGTGGCCAGCACAGTCATCTATAGATGTGTTTACACGTCAGGCTGAGACAGCTTTCAGCACAGGTGGATACTTTTGTGATGGACTAAAATGCAAATGTGATCTGACTCACATCCAGAGATAACACTCCCCCATCCAGAGAGCCATTCCTGAAAACAGGGCTCCTGGTATTGACACCTTATCAAATATATCCTTTCCCATAATTCTGCAGCTATGTCTTTCTGTTGAAACCAGGGCTTACACCATGAACCCTCTAACATGACACACTGCAGCCATAGGCTTTGTCTACCAGCCAGCCTCGAATTCCCAAGTGGCCAAACTCAGTGGAAAGGGTCTGGTCTGGTTAGTGAATACATTCCTTCAGTGTATGTCAAAACACAGTCTGCTGCCATTCCAGAGGCTTATAGCTCTTCCTGTATCCCTGCAAGGTATTCATCCAGGTAGGTGTCAGAGCACTTTACAGAGACAGAAGCTGCAGCCTTACTTTCTGCACTACAGTGGGAATGGGTGTCATTTTCAATGCCAGATTTTACTGGATGCAAGATCTGACTCCAGATCCCTGTGAACAGAAAAAGCTTTAAAAAGCTAAACCATCTTTGAATATAAAAGATTTACTGAGAACTATTTCAGACCTTAATTGAGGTTTCTGGGTTGGGTTTGCTGCCTTCTACAACAGAGGAGAAACTCTGTATATTTTTGAAATACTTTGAAAAGCAAGTGAGGTGAGAGAGCACCCAGGAGTCTCATCCATTTGCATTGTCTCAGCAGTCCCATGACGACACAGATGGTGGGAGCTCACACTGTGATGTCAAATTACAGGCACAAAACAACAGCCAGTGTAAAGTTGTGTGGATGGTGCTGGGACAGACGACTCCTTGTGGAGACCTTGGGAGGAGTTGGAGAAGAGAGGCCATGCCCAGCACATGACTCATGAAAAGGGGCCTGGAAAGAACCACTATCAACAATAAGCACAGAGGATTTCTCGGGCAGGTTGGTGCCGCATGTATTTAGGTGCTCTTGCAAATCCCAGCCAAAGCAATATGCCTCCCAAAGCACCAAGAGACAAAACACAAGCTATGAGAGAAGATGGAATTTAAAATCCCTCGGCTAGCCTTCAGGATAAAGGAGATTTTCTATCACAAAAAGCTATCAGTCCAAACAGATGCCCCTTCATAAGATGGGAATACATCTCACTGACAGCATCCAAGTTTTGGCAGCAGAGCTATTTTTGATCATGGAAAGATACTTTATTTTTGTCTCTCCGTGGCTACTGGAAGACCATATGGCATGTGCTGACTCAACACAGCCAGAGGAGAATCCCTTTGCACTTGTGTGTTTCTTAGCATCGTTTTAATTAATGTGCTGGTGTCCTACTCCCTAAGCTTTGACCCTACTCTTTCGACACTTGCCCAGCCGTGCTGAGCAGCCTCTCCTGTCACTACACCACCGGTGTCACAGCTACAATCTCTCTCCCTTCTCCCATTAGCAGTGATGAAACTGTCACTGGCACATCCCTAATGGCAACTTCCTTGGCAGCAAGCCATCCAACACCAATGATGAGAAAGAGGAGTTAGCCTGCTCAATCTTTTCAAGACCCTTCAGTGCAACCAGCCCTGCAGACCCCCTGTACTCTCTGTCTCAGTCCCAAACGAGAGCCCAGAAAGCCTCCTGCCTACCACCCCTTCTTCTGAAAGAAGGTAGTTCAACAGAAACCAACACAATTCACAATTTATGTAAACAGGCTGTTTTCATACCAGTTGCTCAAGCTATTACTAATATTTCGTCAGCCACATATTTGTCTACTTGAAGCCCACGGCAAAACTCCCTGCCATTTCAAAGAGTGCAGGATTTTGCATTCCAGGCTGACAGCAAACATTTTTGAGGGCCACTTTTTAATGGGGCACAGATTTCTGCTGAGGTTTGGCTAGTCTGCACCAGCTGAAATGTAACTGTATAAAGGATCAGATGCAAAAGGAGCCAAAAGCTGCAAAACCAGTCAAAGCAGGAGTAAAATGGTAGAAAACTGTATAAAAGCCGGTAGGAACAGCTGCAAAAGCAGTCAAAGCAGGGATAAAATGGTGAAAAAGGATAAAAACATGGCTCCTTCTTTTCTCCCTCCTTTCTAAATCACAACTTTGGAGGAAGAAAAACACCTCTGGAAGTGGGATCCCAGCTGTGCCTCCACAGGAATACAGGAGGCAATAAACCCATGCAGAGGTATTAGATTTTTCCTTAGCTCACTGTTGAATGGATGCCTTTTAGAGCACTTTGCCCACAAACCAAACCTGTGCCCGGCTCCTCCTTGGTTCCCATCCTAGCTCATCTATGCCAGGCAAAGCCACCCATCCCCAGAGCAGAGTCACCTGTCCCTAGGGCACACAAGGGTTGGGGACAGACAAAAAGGGGATTTCAGTCCATTTGGGCAGCCCAGCTGCTTTTCCCCATTTCACCCACTGGCACTTCCCCTCCGTGGACTTACTCGGGCCTGTTGCACTCTCGTATCGCCGTCTTTATGCCGCCACCGCAGGTCCTTGAGCAGGTCCCAAAAGGGCTCCATGTCCCCCATGCTCCGTCTATCACCGGCGCCTCTCGCTCTTTGGGCACACACATCCCAAACCGGCAGTGCTGTGTGCAGGGAAACATGGGAAAGGTGGGTTTGCGTTGCTTTTGCACCATGAGCCGACCAACAGCCCCCAGCCCGGGCGACGACTCAGGCTCGCTCATTTCCCAGCCACACACAATGATTTTGCAATCAAATAAAGCTGAACTTCTCTATATATCTTTTCCATCACCCCCGTATTTTAGTTTCTCTGCACCCTTAAATGGCAAAGTGAAGGCAAGGTGCTGAGTCCATGGAACGATTTATGGGATGAAGACTGAGGACAACAGCAACCACTGAATATTCCCTGTTTACTGGTGCTGAACAGCACGGCAAAGCTCATGGCACTGGCTTTTCAAAAAGCTGCTTATCTGATTTCCTGGAGAGCTGCAGGAACTGTGCCGTGTCAGGGGAGGAGACAGGCAATAAGGACAAAACACGAGGGAAACCTCAAACCTCCCCACAGCTATCCAAAGCAGGAAAGGAAACTTCCAAATCTAAAAGGCAATTAAAATAGAAAAATGAATTCCTCAATCCAAAGTCTTTTTTTTTTTTCACTCAGTCATAACATGGGACTTGCCAAGACCTGGTCAACACTTTTGTTTTTTAGCTATGACTCTTGTTTTCTTTTGTTTGGAAAACTGCATAAAGTCATCATGGCAAGCCCCCGTCCCCGTTCTCATGGTATAAATTGTGTCCTTTGGGGTATGTTTGCTAGATTGACTATACAGACTTCTGGAGAGGTGAGCTCTAGGGGAGAGTCACCTTCCGGCCCCACCAGAGTGGATGGAAAAATGTCCCCAAGACCCGCGAGAGCAGGACTTCCCTCTCACTGAACAGTGCTCACTAAAGTGGATTTAAACACAGAGACATGCAGATACCTAAATCTTTGCAATTATAGGAAGCCCAAACATTGCTGATTGCTCACAGAATAGAAGAGGCTACAGACTTACAGAAGAATATAGGTAGAGCATCATTAAAATATTCCCTTGCAATATTTCGCTGGATCAAGCAGGGAAACACCTGATGATCTTTATGGCAACAGGGTCAAATTTACTGATGTACAGTGTTTTTCCAGCCCTTTCACTAATAGCACAAGGTTGTGTCACGACACACACACCATGAGCTCATGCCCCTTTTTTGGACATCCTTATGAGCTGCTTTAGATAAAGCTGTTTAGGAAAACACAGCAAAAGCAAGCTGTCATAGGGCTGTGCATCCAACAGCCAGCTCTGCAGCATGCTGAACACCTTTTGCCACGATGGCTGACCTGTTGCATTGCTTTGCTGATGAAGAAAGCTGATCTCAGGTGCATTTGCCCTCCAGGCGTGGTTTGCAGGACATCTGAAGAACTCATAGCTTGAGTCCTACATGTGATGTTTGCTCAGAGACGAGCATGGTCTTTGGGCTGCAACATGCCCTAGATTTGCTTCCATCTAAAGATTTGATTCCCCAGACAAAAAACTGGCTAAAAACCATCTGCTACAGTAAAGGACAGCAATAAAATCAGCTGCAATGCCTCTTTCTTTGCTGCAGGACAAACCCTTATGATACACAACTCCTCCTGGCACTAGAGGTTGAAAACCTGAAAGCTGGGGACCCCTAGGCCAGCACTGTACAAGGACAAAGAGGTCCCACAACTATCATCAAAGTACAAAAATACATGACACCAACCCAACAGAGCTGTCCCAGAGGAGAACTTCTCGCAGCAACGTCGATGCTCACAGCTAAATATATAACCAGAGTCATGCTTGGCACCACTGACCCAGAGAAGATGACTGAATAGCTAACTAGTGAATGAACACAGCTAACAGACCGTGACATGACCTATATGTTTCCCATCCCATGGTTGAGAATTAACCAGGAAATCACCTGCATCCGTTGATTTTATTAAAAATTGGGGGGTTGGAGGTGATGGCAATTCAAAGGTGGGGAAAAGAGCAGCTGTTTTAAATAAACAGCAAGATTAGCTTATGGAAATGCAATGGTGTTTCTCGGAACCACACTGTGAACAGTCTGGCTGCGCAACCTCTGTGCCTTTCGCATTTTAAAAATAATTTCTATGTTGAGATACAACAGAAAAACTAAAAAGCTTGCCAGGATTCTCTTTCCTATGAGCTTAGAGATCACAGAATGAAGAGAATAAAAGGGGTTTTGTCTGGAGCAAATTCAAAATATCTTAAGACACACAGCTGAGCAGGAGAGCACTGGCAGGGATGGGAGACACTACAACAGACTTTCCTTTCCTTTGTCTTGCCACTGGAGTCCCAGATAATTCACCAAATCCAGCTCCCATCCTTGGGCTGACTGGTTGAATAGAGTAGCAGGGGGCAGACAAGGGCTGTGAAGCTCCATGCATGCATAACAGATACGCTACCTGCTGCCATACGGCAGGAGACACAAACGATTACTATTCCTCTCTACTCTTCTGCTATCATTCTCTAAACAGCCCTGAAAACCACAAGAGAGAGAGAAAGGCCCAAATTTACAACCCTCTTTATTTTCTTTCAGTGATTTATCTCCACCCAACAATGAGCTGGTGCTGTGAAATGGTAAAACCACCCGATGGTGCTCGCCCAGCAAAGCCAAACTCTGAGCTGGGCTTATGGCTTGATTTAGCAAAACCAAATTCAGTGTTCTCACATGCAAAATATGTGTAAGTTAATACTCTTGTGTTGTTTTAGTGTCCTTGATTTAGGAGTAAATTTAGAGCCCGGTTAAATCTACATCCCAGTAGTTTTAGCTAGATTTTTTTAGCTATTCAGGCTCCCTCATTTCCAAAGATATCTCCATAAAAAATGGCATGGTATTTTCTCCATCTGCCAACCCATACATCACAGGCTTTAAACATGCAGACTTGAGGCATTAGTCAGCAAGCACCAGTTTGACGGGGCTCCTGGCCACAGCAGAGTACCAAAATAGCAATTTATTCCTAGGAAAAGAACTCTGGACTCGCACCTCAGCACTTTACAAGCCCAAGTAAACACCAAAGAGGAGAGTGTATGATGATCCAAACTTTAACATTGAATTAGACCAACACACAGATACAAGAATTACTCTGTAAAGCCCTTTTGTGAGAACACATTCAAATGCCTGAACACAAGTAGGCTGCATTAGCTTTTCTTAAGAGCCCATCTGCTCTCAGCTGAGAAGTTCAGGTCACACTTGTCTAATTTGTCTAAACTTGTCAAATTGTCTAAATTTGTGGGCTGAAATGTTTTTGCTCACACGGTCTTTATTAAGAGCCATGCAGCTGGACAGTGCCTCTAGCATGACATGGGGTAACTGAGGGAGTGCTAATCTGCTCAATTGCAGTTGTTTGCACATCACTCTGGTCACATCCAAGGGTAACTGCAGGTTTGTTGGAAGAAAATTGCAGCCCAGATTTTTGGAATTTCAAGAAAATAGTAATTTCTGACCTTCCAGCGGTGAGCAGACCCCAAGCTCACCAACAGAGAAATTGAGGACACAAGGTCTCAAGTCACAGGGACTCCACAGATAACTAAGCTTTATCCTGTGCCTCAAAACAGGGGGGATTTCACACAAAAACATTAGAGATTCCAACCACATCTCTAATGTGCATTCTCAACAATAAAAACAAACATGTTGACCGCACTTTTCCCTAAGAAAGGAAGGCAAATTGATCCATGATGCTCATTGTCCTGAAGGAAATCAGTCAAGTGTCATTGAACAATCAAGTTTTCAGATGCATGCAACACAAGATTAATTACCAAAGAGTTCCACAGCCTGTATGGAAAATTATATCTAAAATAGCATCCAGAATTTTTATTAAAATATATATGAAAGACTATGATTTAAAACTTTGACTCTTTCTAAAGAAAACTTATTAATATTATTATTATTATTGTTGTTGATTTTAAGAGCCAGAAAAGTAAAATTTTAAGCTGTACCATGTAGAATAACATCACACTATTTTTACTAGAACCAGATGGAGAATAGTTTTGTTCAGACACAAATGATGAGAACCAGTTAGCATTTTTATTCAAAAGCTTCAGCATTTCAATAAAAGAAAAAGAAAAATCATCTAACTACTTTTCTCCAGATCTGAACAACTAAAAATTAAATACTTACTCTAAAAACCACAATGCTAGCTGGAAATTAACATTGCACATGGAAATCAAAAGTTTCTATGAATTACTGCCAAAAATGTTCCATACAGAAAATGTCAACCAATTCTATATTTTACTCTGAAGTTGTCAAGATGAGAAGCCAGCTGACAAGTTTATGTTACACAAAATTACTAATTGCTCACAACACATAGCAGATTTCTAACAAAAGCTTAGGGAAGCTTTGCAAAAGTTTTGCTCAAAAGTTCACTCAAGGGCATTAATTTAAAAAGATAAGCACTCCAGAAGGAATACCTGCTTTAAACAATGTTATGCCAAGCAGTCAATTTTAATCACATTATCTGGGCTAGAGATGATCCAGGCACAACAGGCTTAAAACACACGGAGCTGCTTTGGGCTTCCACCCTTGCAGTCAGGGCTGTACCCCACACAGCTGGCTCTGGGATAGGATGATTTTGACTGATATGCTTAGCTGAGCCCTAGGAAATACAGCTACAAGGCACAAGCCACCAGGTACTACAGACCTTTCCAGGCTCACATTCTGTCCCATCGGCCCAAGGCGTGTGCTGGGTTCGACATCCCTTGTGAGCACCATCGACGTTGATACACCAAAGTCGTCGACACTGCATCTGCTTAAATGATTGAAAAGATCAAAGTATTAAGTATGAGACACAGGCCTTACCAGATAGATGATTCTTTATGAAATTATCCCCCTAGGATTTATCACTAACTCACAAGCTTGACAGTAAGTTGATGGATTGTGAGCCTGCCATTCATCCAACCCCAAGAGACCTTATTTTGCTCTGGCAAAAGCAGGAAAAAAAAAGGTGCAAAATTTCACTTACCATATAGGGGCACACTTGAGATCCGGGTCCAAAAATTAACTCACATTGCTTGTTGACATCATAAATCAGCCCCGGGAGCTGCTGAGGCAACGTGTAAGTTCTTGATGAAGGTTCATCAAGCAAACACTCTCCATAACCAGTGCTACAACACAAATCAGAAAAATGGTGTTAAAACAGGAGGCAATGAGATTAAATCCCATTGGTGTTTGCCCAAATTAGCCTTAGGGCAGCTGCACACCACATTTGCCATATTTAACAAGCACTACAAGAGCTACTGCAAACTCAGGCACAGGAGGGTATGTTACTCATCCACCACCACCCCTGTGCTGTGACAGCAACCATCCACCACAGCACAGTCAGCTACCCTGGCAAAAGCATTTCTGAATGTGCACAACCTGCATTTAGTTGCTGAGCAAGCACTGGTACATTTTTATAAAGAATTCAGAAAGAAAAATCATTGATTAGCAGAACTGCCCAAGGGACTGAGCTCCTGGATTTGCCAAAACACCATTGTGGCTCTTGTTCTGTTCCACATCAGCACACACAGGAAGACATCACGGCAAAATAGGTGATCACTATGCATCAAACTGACCCGTGGGCTCCTGGAACGGTGTTCCCACCATGGATTAGTGCCAGGGCTTTATCTTGACCTGTGGAGCAGAAAGGCAGATTCAATCTGCCTTCTAAAACACAGCTCCGTATCTGGGCCACGGGGCTTGGAAAAGTCACTCTTCAGGTTTGAGGGGCACACACAGTCCTTAAAAGCAATATCCATGTGGGAAGACTTATTCTTCCCCATCGAGAGGCCGGTCCTTGCCAGCCTATCAAGAGGCTGAACCGGCAGGGACTGGATGCCAGGGGTGTATTCCTGCTCTATGTAAAGGATGTGTGCACACACAAATCCCTCTGATTTCCTCTAAATGCTGCACTCTAGGACTTCAGAATTACTGAAGAACTCCACGGGACACATGCACATGTAAAAACAGCCCAACACATGCATATGCAAGGCCTTACTCCAGAAATTCAGTGATGTATTTCCTACTGCATTTTGACCACATCCAGGGATTGGTGTAGAAATTCAGTGTTGGTGCCATGACGTGCTGTTGATTTTTACCCCCATCTTCCTTGCACTTAAGATTGTCATCGTGTGGCATGTTAAAACTAAGAGAAAAAGAGCAGAGAAAAGTAGAGTCACTTAAGAGTGACTCTTAAGTATTTAGCATAGCAAGAGCAACACTGTGAACTAAATGTAAGCAAACCCAAGAATTTTTCCTAGATATGCTGCTGACAGATATTACAAAATAAAAGTATTAATATGCACATATTCACAAGTGTCAACAAACATTGCTTAAACAGGGTTCCCAGCACTCATGTGCAAAAAGCTGTGCAGCACCCTGCTAAGCTCTCCACACCGTGACTGCATATATTTAGCCAGACAAATCCTCAAGGGAGCCTGGAGCAAGACGCAATTCCAGCTGCAGTTTCCTGTTCAGCTGATGGTTGCTATCATGCAGACAGGCTGGAGTCTGGCTCCACCTTCATAAAAATGGCAAATACTCTGGAAGTGAGCCACAGAGCCAGGAGTTGATCTGAAGGAGTAAGTTTCTGAAGGAGATGAATGACTCGAGCCCACCAACCACTGCTGGCTGAAGACCCTTGGGCACACCGGCAATACCCTGTGTGGGATGCGAAATGTTTTCTAATGCTGTTGAATGCCTTGGGCCATGCTGTTGCCTAAATAGCCTTGCACCAGGGATAGACTTGGCTCTTACATTTATGTGGCAGGTTTACAAAATGCCATCAAGCATTGATATCAGCAGAAATCCAAGCAAAGTTTGCAGCACTTGACATCTTGAAGAATGTGGTAAATACACTAACGGAGACAGAACGGCTTAAAGCACTGCGCTGTTTGAAGTGGAGAAGGGGAAATGACCTGGTGTGATCCTGTATTCCAAGGCTGGGGAGTTTATATTCCATTAACATGACTTCCAACAAACCACCTTTACTCTCTATAAAAGGGCACAGAGGCATTTCCTGCTTTGGAGCACCGCTAACCCCTCCTGTAGCTGCCCTGCAGCTATGGGGCAGCATTAGTGAAGGAATTAGCCACAGGTTAGGTGTGGGGAATGCCAAACCTTTGGGGACTTTCTGTCAGGAAGTGTCATTTAAACAAATACTACTGTGGTTAAAAATAGAGTCTCAGCCAGCTCTCTGTGAAGAAAAACGGAGTTTAAAACAATGAGAGATCTGTTCCCAAGTACTCAGGCATCCCACACTTACAGACCCCCACTGCAAACCAGGCGTGAGATGGCTTGGGACTGAACCAGCTGCCTAAGGGTTGTAGCCACGGAGTAAAGGACTACGTGATCTAAGATGATTTTTCTCACTACCTGTCTCAAAAAATGTCAAAATCAGTTAAAAGAAATTTTCACTGGAGGAGGTGTATCTTGAATGACAGCATCTCTGTTGGGGATGTCCAGCAGCACAAGACTTTCCCTGGGAAACAGTTCAGGAGGTGGGTCAGGCTCACTTATACAGCCCCATCACCTCCTAGATGCCCTGGGTAAATTCCACCTTCACACACAGCTGCTGCACTGCCTTCAGCAGCACCACACGAAGCTGTGGGATGAGCTGTGGCAGGCTGAGGACCTGCTCTCAGAGGGGACTTCAGTCTCAAAAGGTAGTCAAAATGTGCCTGTGTCCCTCGCCCGGGTCCTCCCCAAGGCACCTAGCACCTCCTAGCTCCAGCCAAATCCTGGCTAGTCCCAGTGGCTTGGCTAGGACATCATGTCTGCTGAGGCAGATTCTGCTGACATCCACACGTAGATATGAGGAGACACAGTAATAAGGGACATTTTGTTGGCTCTCGTCCCTTGCTTAGGTGCTGCTTGGGGTACTCTGTCATTCATCCTCCCCAAAACATGGCCCTGTTGGTTTTGCTGCTCTCAGATAGGCTTTGGAGCACCCCACAGTTTCATCTTCCTCAGTGGTGCATCTTCTACCCAGGTACATTTATCTCCTTTCAGATAATTAGGCTCAGCAGGTACCAATTCCCAGCCTGGCTGGCAAGCCCTAGTTAGCACAAATCTTGGGCTATTTAAATGTAAATGTATTTACATAAAACATACACATGGCCAAGTTCATGTGCTATTGTGAAGGCAGTGCTCAGTCCATTATCTTCACTAATTGAACAGCTCCTGTATGGGTCACAGACTGTGCCCAGCTCTGCCAAACCTAGGAGAGAACAAAGAGGATTACAATAGAAAAAGAAATGTCACCCATGGTTCAACACAGGCAACTAACATTGTCACTACAAAAAAAGTTGCTAAAAGACAAAGAAAAGGTTTCTCTTACCCAGAGTATCACATTTGTTGTGCGCTCTACAAATATCCTGTCTGAAAGCAGAACAGACCTGACACATTAATTTTCAATGCAGCAGTGAGTTAAGGTACAAGTACAATAACAGCAGTCAAAAACAACTATTGGTCCTTCAAGGGACCTTCTCATGCAGGTTTGCCACATCATCCAGAGTCCAAATTAACCCTCTACCATAGTCAGAGTTTTTTCATCTTATGCTGAACCCATGGGCAGACTTTAGACAGACCTGAATCTCTCAAAGTCATCTATTGCTATGGTGGACACATCATCCCAATTCTGCTCACAGTTACACCACTCCCACAATTGGAAATGTCCTTACACCCACATCAAAACCTGAACATTTCCCATAGCTGGATGTGTTACACACTCACAGTCTCTGACACACAACTGGCTACAGTTGTTATGAGAATATTCACCACACCTGGTAACAAGCACGGCTGTATCATGTTGAAGGTGACTTCCTTCTGGGTGGTTCTGGGATTGCTGCCACTGGCAGAAGTTTTTTAATGTAGTTTGGGCGTTGTAAGATATTGCAGGACCATCCTGATAAGCAACACACAGAAAGCAGATATTTTAATTATTCATCACAATGCTCACTACAAATGCCATTGCCAAACAGAAGGTGAAGAAAATCACTTCCATTACCTGCTCATTATGTATCACGACCAATTTCACAATAACAATATTAATTAAATTTCCAATGCTTGGATCTTTGTAGATAGAAGCCACCTGTTGCAAAAAGCAATATTCGAAATTATTGCTAACATTGAAGGAAACAAACAATTAAGAGAACACAATCATGTTTTCCATTTTATAACTGCTTTTCTCCTGAGCTGCTCTTCTACCCCACTCAGCGCTCTGATGCTGTTTGGAGAGACCTCCTGCCAGAAGCACAATTTTAGAATGAAACAAACCTGCTGGTATCACAGAAACCCAGCATTTCCTTTTGCTTTATCACACATTTCACTAAATTACAGGATCATTCTGCTCTGACATTCAAAGACCACCAACCAAGACTGTCAAAAGCAACTTTCTCGAGTGCCTGATTTTGACAGGGACAGTTTCAGACCACATATTCACTGCACATCTACCCTCAAACAGGATGAACATCCCTCTAGTGACACAACTGTGCAGGATACCCCCTTCCAGTCACTCTGCATCTACAGAGCTGTTTATTTGGGGACTGCACTACTGCATCCTAGTACCAGCAGCTATTAAAATGCTTGTCCTCAGCCTGGAAAGCCAACTCTACAACTATGCCAAGGATCAAGGTGACCACAGGTTTTTTCTCTTTGCAAGAGCAAGGGAGGTGAGGCAACCGCATAACCTATGAGCATCAGTCCCCTGGAAGGGGACTAAATTCAGCTTTTTCACATGAATTTAAATAAAAAGAAGAGTACACTATGTGGACTAAAGGGCCAGTGATATTTCTCATGCTGCCTGGCATTCAGAAAGATGGGAGAGGTGTGGGAAGGATTAGGAAACATGATGGGTCTGGGAAAGAAGACTCCAACCAATATTTCCCAGCCAAATTTTACCAATTTTTACTGTAATCCCAGCATTATCTCCATGCCTAGCCAAGGCAAACTACTGGCGTTGCACACGAATGCAGCAGAAAGGGGCTCTGTGACCACTGGAGAACGATTTGTGGGTGGATCTGCTCCCCCTGGTTGAATACTCACTATTGACATCAGTGTTAAGACGTAGTGCTGTAGGTTGGCTCCATGGTAGGCGACCATCCTGCTGTCAGCCACCACCATCACCTCCACAAACCGCGGGTAGGAGAGGAACCGCTTCGTTCTCTTGTGGCTCTTCTTTTCACCGACGGTCCCAGTCTTGTTGCTATCGCCAGAAAAAGAATTCACTTCCAGGCTGTGTTTCAACATCTCCACGTCAGATAATATGCTGCTTTCTGCCCACTGTCTTCTCCAGTGTTTCCACTTGTTCTTTTTGTGACTGTGCTCATGATCTATGGTTAAAACACAGATAAAAACAAAGTACGTTCTGGAGTGAATAAAATACCACATGTATGTTATGTCAAAATACCTATTATTACTTCAACAAAGAGTTAGCAGCTAACTGAAAGAGAAGCATTCTGTGGAAGCTCACCATGTAATCCAACATCCAAGGCTTAAATTTTAAAGTCATCCTGGGGAAGCCACTGGCACTTAGAGGTGGACATTCCTGTCAAGGCTTCCCTGCAGCAGAGCTGTCTCCTTGCCCGTGCAGGAGGGATGGAGCCTGGTGATGGTAATTAGCCACCACAGCGGCCGTGTGAGGATTCTGGGCACGTCCAAGGTGGCCAGGAAACCACAGGAAACAAAGGTCCAAATCCTGTATTTCTAACTCAGGCATGAAGGACGGCAGGATTTGGCCTTCATAGCGAAGCAATTATATATGATTTATTTCTGTCTCTAACAATAACACGGCTGGGCTTCAGTTCCCCCCCTCCCTTTATTATTCTGTGCTACAGGAATGGTAAAGGTCATCTAATAGCACAGCTGCCACTGGCGAAAGAATAGAATTCAGGAAGTTTCACATATACTGCTTTTGATATTCAATTAGGCCAAACATAAAAGCAGCCTGAAAATATACTCCATGCTGATACAAAGACGACAAAGTGAAGAGGGAGAACAGGCAAATAAAACATATGGAACATGTACAATTAAGATTTACCATCTGATTAGTATGTAATTATAGCATTATTTAAATGTAAGAGCAAAATCAGTCTTATTTGATGCCACTTAATTTTTAATCAGTTCATCATAGGAAGTAGCTAATTGAATGTGATTCATCCATGAGAGACTGTTCGTTTCTGCATTTAATATAAAGCCAGATCTGAACTACTCATCTACAACTCCAGGCTACAACCCTCACGCTCTTTGTAGCTTTAGTTTAATTTCTTCACGGTGGTGAAAAATATCAGATTTCCGTATCTGACCCACCGAGTAGGTTAGAGGAAGCATAATATTAGGGAACAAAGGAATATTCAATGCTCAAACAAGATTGAAATGATAGGAAACTTCTTAGTTATTTTTCCTGGGTAGTTTCCTTTCAGGAATAGTTGTAATAATTTCCAAAAAGAAATACATTCTCTAATATCGCGGCAGGCAAAGGAGATCAGCCAGCTTCTACCTATGTGAAAAATACTATCCTTTTGCCCTATGTGTAAATAGGCAACAGAGTATTTAAGAACTAAATCCTGTTTACTGTGAACTACCAAAGTCCTATAAATTCTTCTTTCTTGATATAGTCCAGACCACCTTAATACAGCAGAGAGTCTGCAGTTATTTGAGTAAGAATTCGAGAAAGCCAATGGCATTTGTGGTTATAATTGGATTGCCCTAGTTCCTCTGCTCTAATCAATGCCCTTGTGTTGGCAAGGTTGTGCTCTCATGCTGGCACAGCTTCGTGGGCAACCATGACATTATCCTGACTCATTCAGTGCCAATCAGTGTGGGAAGCCAACTATGCATACAAATAACTTAAAGGTGAGAAGAGGACCAGACTGAGGAGAAAGCGCTAACCTCAGTCCTTCAGCCAGTTCCCCTCCTCTCTGCACCCTCAGCCAGCCACTTGACTTTCCCTTTTAAATAACTAACTTCCAAAAGGAGCAGGCGCTCAAGGAAAAATGTGTTAAGGATGAGGAGGTGCTCAGCGAGGCTCTGAGGACTGTGGTGTGAAGCCAGAGCTCTGTACTATCCTCTACCATGGCTCCACAGAGCCCCAGATGGGACAATGAGGCTCAGGTGCCTTCTTCTCTGGCCTGCCTAGCAGAGGGAGGTTAGATGGCAAAAGAAGAGGGAAACGCAAAGGATTCTTTGCAGACACCTATTACACAGGAGGTGTATAAAAGAAATTAACTGATATTCACTGGGCTTGCAATGAAAACCTGCAGCTGGTATCGCACACGAAAAAAACCCAACAAATCCACCCATAACCCAGAGAGACCCACATGAGATGCAATGTCTGGTTCCAAGAGCCCTGACCTGACCCACCATGCAGGAGAATCAGAGCCCAACACAGCCAGGTATGCCCAGCACAGAGCAAAAACTACCTTCCTTTTCGTTGCAGAGATCTGGCACAGTGTCATAGAGTCATTTAGGCTGGAAAAGACCCTTAAGATCATCAAGTCCAATCATTAACCTAATGCTGCCAAGTGTCGGTACAGTATCAGTGTTCTTCCCCCATCAGCACACAAATCAGATAAATCATCCCTTCAAAAACATCGTACTTTTTTCCAGGCATGATGCCACTCCAGCGCTTGGAGCATGTTATTTGGACAGGTCATGTATTGTGTGTTTGCCAGCCTGGTTACTGGAAAACCAGGCACCAGTGATGTGGAAGCACTGCTCATGAAGCCACTCCCGGACTTTGATAGTAGTGAGATGTTATCTTCACCCATCTTTCTTGCATATAACTACACTCAGAGACGGTGCACATTCACCTGTAAAAACCTGAATGCTAATGGCTGTGCACTGCTCTCAGCCCGTCCATAAAACCCCCACATTAATGGAAGCTGCACACAGGCACTGCCAGTACTCTGTGTACCTGATGCTGGTGATATCCCGCTCCACTACGATGGCCACAACAGCAATGCTCTGACTGAACGGTGCAATGTGCTGCCCTTTGATCAGACAGAAGTGAAAATCTCTCACATTACACAAGAAAACTGCAATTTTACAGCTACAGCTTCCTACTGCCACACACACCACCAAAAAAAAAGGGTGTGATATTTTTTCCAACTTGTTTTCCTTTTTTTTCCTATTGTGTTAACATATTAACAGAAATCAAGAAGAAAAATGGTTTGCTTGGCAGGCTCTCAATTCCTGCAATGACCTGAAAAACATCTACCTACACATGGCAGTAATTGGATGGGTTTAAGCAACAAAACATTTTTTTTAATTTGCAGAAAAATCAAACCCCAGTGAGTAGACAAACCCTTTAAACTATGCAAACTACAGATCAATAATTCAAGTATCAGAGGAGCCCATGCACTGATTCAACAGTTCATATTCATTTGAGAGGTGGACAAAGGCTGCTGGCATAATGTCCATTTTACTGCATGCTTTACTAAGACAATCTACGCTATTTCCACTGTCTTTAAAAGACCGGGAGGTATATCTTAATTCTTTTCTTGCTTGGTTTCTCCTTTGTAATGTGGGACTTAAAATAGAGACCAAATTCTGTGACAGGGATATTCCCTCCTGATGGCATCTTCCCACTCCTGCTATTTATTTTTGCTTGCGCAAGAAGCCTCAGCCCAGAACTCATTCAGCTGATTTATGGATGATTCCTGCTGGTTAATGTACTTTGGATCTATCACAAGAAAGAGGGCAGGGAAGACTCTGCCCCTACATGAGTACTTTGCCTGCATGAAAGGGTGACAGGGCAGAGTCAGGAACCGCTTTTGAAATAGTAACTATTGTTACATTAAAATCAAAGATTTAAAGAAGGAACAATACCTTAACCCAGCAGTTCTAATCCTTTCCATTTCTACGTTAACTTGTCCTTGGAATAGAAAGCAATTTGCTCAATTAAATAAGACATGTAACAATTCAAGCAATTCCAGTTCAGCTCCAAGTTCATAAGAGTTGCACATAGCAGGGGAAAAAAAAAATGTAAAAGAGAGAGAGAGAGTAAGCAAGAGAGGGGCAAAAAAAAATCTATTCCTTGAGCTAAAAACATTAACATCGTCTCCCTGCTAGAAAAGGAGTGTGATCCTTTCAAACCAACTCATGACAATAATTTTTCTGAATGTGTGACCTAGGATTTCTAACAAAGTTTGCCGCTCAGTGGTTGGCCCACAACACTCCTAGACCTGCTCTGATCCAGCTGGGCAGATGAGAAGACTATCATTTGGAAGCTAATTATTTATTGCACACCCCCATAAAGCAGATCAAAACTCAGCTGAGCTCCCTCAGGGCAATCAGTCAGCATGTGACCCATCTCCCTTGACTTGGGCAGGAGCCCCAACAGCAAACCCTGCCCAAATGCATCGGTACAAGTTCCAGCTACAGTGGCTGGCTGGAATTTACTGCCTCTAGCTGGTACAAAAGCAGCTGTCTAAGTGACTGCCATCATTTGGAAAACAGAGGGGAGAGGCAAAATGGATTTTCCTTCATGCAGAGATCAGACTGGTTGAAATCAAGCCAGATTTTTAGGCTCTTCTTGCCAGGAAAAAGGATGGAAGCTGGCTCCTCTTTAGGACACAAACAGGTCCTAAGCTGGACCAAAGGATTCTTCTAGCCCTGGCTCTGTTTTAGTTCTCTATCAGTATGTTTTATATCTCTATCTACCTTTCAATATATCTCCAGATATATCTCAGATGGATTTGCATGAGGCCAAATTCTCACTCTGTTACTGTGGGGGTGCTGTTGTAGCAAGCATAAGCCAGAGCTGAACACACCTTCTCTGACAGCAGCTTCGAAGACAACAGCCAGGGATGGAAACAATAACAGGGGACCAGCTGCTGCCTTACTCTGTACCACACTGATATGACCAGTTCTATGAGCAGGACTAATCCTGCCTTCCCTCTGGATAGCTCCTTGACTGTGCAATCAGAGCTGCTGCTATAGATGGAAAGGGAAAACAGATTTTATTGACAGAGATGAGATAATGGCCTACATCAGAAGGGAAATGAAGGATCCAGGCCAGCTGGGATCCAGAGAGAAAGATATTCTGCACTAAGGGTGTAAATGAAAGTTTGCTCAATTTCTCTAATCTGCAAACCAGAAAGTGTTCAACTTTTAATTAACCTGAACCCACTCAACAGAGACCAACTAGGGTTTCAACCTTTGTCAGCAAGAACTGCACAAAACTGCACAGATCAAGCTTTCATGGTTGGAATAATGGCAATGCAGTAAAATATCTGCACTTTCACGAGTGCCACTCTTAGAGCAATACAAAGGAGGGAAGCTGTGATTTCCCCATGTTGTTCATACTTTCCTTTGAATTAGGAAACAGTCT